CGGACGCTTAACCGACTGCGCCACCCAGGCGCCCCGAAAGTTCTTTTTTTAAAGCAAACTGAAAGTCAAGGAGAGGTGTTCTCAGGAAGGTGTGCAAGACCGATCCTGTGTGGGTAGTGTTTTGAAGCAATACCCATGCTGCCTCGATTTCCCCTGACAGATTGGAGCCTGTGGTGCCCGCCAGTGCCCCCTACAGTGTCGTCATTGTTGGCAAGTTGGTCTGCTCACTGGATCTCAGCCTCCTAACGGCAGAGCCCCTGTCCCCAGCACAGCGAGGCCGCTCTCCCCGTCGGGGGCCAGAAGTGTCCCCAGTCCAGTCCTGTTCCCTCTGCTCTCCTGCCACCTTGGCCTGGAGGTGACCCGCACAGAAGCAGAAGCAACCCAGGCTGTATCAGGCTGGCAGGTGGGGGTGGCCTTCGAATGGGACCACGGTTGTCATCAGAGAAGAGGTACGGGAAAAGCCAGAAGCAAAAGTAATTCTGTAGGAAGAGTTCTGTGGTGGCTGTAATGAAGAGGATGCTCATTTGACTGTGCGTGATGCACGTGTCTCTCTGAAGAGAAGCAAAGCCACCTTAGACCGCCACCTAGCCCAGGTCCAAGGAAGGCGGGCCACATTTAGATGGCCATTAGAGTGCCAGGAATGGAATTTAAACACGAGTGTGAACGGGAATAATGAGGTGCCATCACTGTTTTCCAGGTCCTATATTTAATGCCTCTGTGCATTCAGACACACCGTCGGTTATCCGGGGAGATCTGATCAAGCTGTTTTGTATCATCGCTGTTGAAGGAGGAGCGCTGGATCCAGGTATTTCTCTCTGTCTTGCCTCCTGCTCCATGTTGCTTTCCCTGAATGTGTCTCATGTCTTCCCACTGTGTTGCATAGACCTGGAGGCCAGGGATTAGACTCTCTGCTGATCCCAAATTGCCTAGCTCAGGACTTGGTACTCAGTAGGTGTTTAATAAGTACTTGTCGATGGAGGCATCTGTGTGTTAGAGGATTCCAGACACTGGAACATGAGCTCTCAAGGCAATCAGTGGGCCACTTGCGGGGCCGATTCAAGCTGCTTTGAAACCTACCAGCAGAGTCCAGCCCCTTTCCCTGGTCTTTCATTCATTTATTCATTCAGAGATGCATTGAGCATCTTCTGTCAACAGGTGCTGGGAATAGAGGAGGCACTAGAACACTCCACGGCTCTTCTCACGGAGCTTGCCACCTGATTAAGGAGACAGAAATCACCATATAACGTAATATCAGGTGGTGTTAAGTCTGTGATGAAATACAGAGCAGAGTAAATGGGGCGAGCGACCAGGCGCTGCTATTGTTTAAATTCTTGGGAAACCTTTGTAAACCTTTTCTTTGCAAAAAATATTAGCACTGCCAACAGGACGCCTGGGAGCCGTGGGCCATCAGTCTTACACCTGTTCTGCCTGGCCCCCTTCAGCGACCAGTCGGTGTCTTCGCCTGACACTTAGACCCGCAGGGTTTGAAAGGAATCGAGCTCTGCGCAGAGACCACTGGATGCGTGGCCCTGGGGTGGGCACGGGAAGCAGGTTTTCATTCTGTATTCAGGGCAGGTTGTAAGCAACGCGAGGACGGCCTGCAGGGAAACCAGAGTGAACGGCATGATCCTCTGGCATCGAGCAGCGGAGGCCTGGGTGGCCGCAGGCCCTCCGGCCCACGGTTCAGGTAGCCACTACTGCAGGGTCAGCAGTTATGTTCTATAAAGGGTTCCGGTGAGAGGTATTTTTGGCCTCGTGGGAGGCCTGCAGCAGTCACCTCTGCAGCAGTCACCTCCGCAGCGAGAGCAGCCACGGACATTATGTAAGCAAATGTGCTTGGCTGTGTTCCACCGAAGCTTTATTGACAAAAATAGGTGGTGGGCTGGGTCTGGCCCGCGGGCTGCAGGTTACGGACCCCGGGACTAGCTGGTTGATACCGAATTGGTTCTTGCAGGGAGCCTCAACATGGTTGAGGTTTAGAGGTGGGAGAAAGAAGAATTGGTGAAAAAGAAAAGAAGTCCCTCCGAGCCACCAGTTGGTTAGCTCTGTTCTCAAGGTGCGGGGTAGGGTGCCTCGGTCTCGAATAAGCTGAGATGTGGACTGGGGGGGAGGGGGGGACAGAGTGGGATTCAGAAGTAGAAACGGAAGTGAAAGTAATAGAGGCTGGCAGGAGGGGGGGAGGTACACCCTTTTCAGCGGTTGGTACCATGTTTACCCTTGAAGCTCGTTTGTGACACGTGCAAAAATAAATCATGTAAATGTTCATTCTCAGCAAATTGATGGGTCCCCATATATTAATCATGCCCTTAATATAAGAGTCTTTGCCCCCAGGGTAATTACCGAAGCTATAGGTGGCTGTTATCATGCAGATCACAGTTTTCCAGAACTTTGCACCCGTGGACGGTGTGGGTGGAAGATTCTGAATAATTAAGCACACGCTATAATTCAGTTTTTCCTCACGCATCCGATGGGCCGTGAAGGAATTCTCTTTTGGAAAGGACATATCACATACGTGGGCCAAGCGCCAAGACGCTCTTGTGCCCAGAAGGGGAGGGACGGGGCAGGTCGTGTGGCCCTTTAGAGGCAGTGTCTTAGGTCACGCCCTCTAGAAGCAAAGCCCCGAGACAGGTGTGCAAGTGATTAATTGAAGTTGTGCGCCCAGGGAGTGAGGGAGTCCAGCCGGGCAAGGGAAGGAAGCCAGGCAAAGACGTGACTTCAGAACGAGTCTTAACTCCCCACGGCGAGTTCTGGCGCGTGGGTTGTACCACAGAGTATGGCCTCCTTGAGGTGAGGGACTGGGCTTTTAGATGCCCGCCGTCAGTCAGCCACTGTTCACGGGCTGAGCGGTTGGGGAGCAAGGGTGTTTCCTAACCTCCAGGAGGTGGCTTCCGTCAGCTGAGGCTGACCCTCGGCAAGAGGGCACGGGTGTGAGAGTGTTAGCAGTCAGCACCGTCAGCAGCTGGTCGGGGCGGGCACCGCGAGCCTCTGCTACAGGCGCTAACGCCCTCCCTGTTAGCACCTGTTTGTGGACCGTGTGTGTCGTACTGTGGAGGTAGGGCTAGTGAGCGCTTCCTGCGTGCCAGGTGCTGTTCTAAGCGTCTTGCAGAGATAGCTAACTTAACCACGGTGAAGCCGTTAATACTCATTTGATAGCCGAGGAAACTGAGCCGCGGGGAATTAAGTCACTCCTCCAGGCCACGTGGCTCGCCAGTACTGGCCCAGCCCGGGAGCCTGGCCCTCCAGGCCAGCCTCAGCTCTGTGAGGCGCGGCGGGACTGGGGCACGAATCGGAGCCCACATAACGGGGACAGCAGTTGTGACTTTGCCTTCAGTAACCGCCCCGCGTCCGCAGGCGACAGCTGCACTGAGCACGTGACCATGATCCCGGGGGGCCCCCTCTGCCCTGGCACCGTGAGGGCGTGAGGATGTTGACAGCACTTCCTCTGCCCCCCCTTCCCCCGGGGAGTTGGTCTTCTTGGCAAGAGATGACCCACACACTGAGAACAATCCAATTTTCTGCTCAAGTGCCACAGCGGACGAGGGGGAGGGAAAGCAGGTATTTTGAGCGTTGGTGTGGAGAGCTGTCATCCTGTGGGTAGGGAGCTGAGGTTTGCTCTGGCGCTTAGCATTTTCAGAGCAAGTTGGAAAGGACTTAACCATGTGGATAATTTTGTACAAAGTCTTGCTTTTGTTTTTTGTTTTTTGTTTTTATTTTTTTTTAATTTTTTTTTTCAACGTTTATTTATTTTTGGGACAGAGAGAGACAGAGCA